TTTTTTTTTTTTTTTTTTTTTTTTGTTAGTGTGGCCGTTTTCGCTCTGTAGATAATTTGTGGTTAGCAGATATAAAACTCGCAATATATTAGGGTTCTTCCCTTGTTGCTGTCAGGGATGATACCTTTTTTTTTTTTATAACCGAACAATGTCTTTATAAAAGCCGTGAACTGGGCCCCGCGTCCCTTACAAAATTAGGTGGGCCCCTCAGTGGGCAAGGCATCACCGGCCAAGCACATAAAGGGCAGCACTAGATTTGACCGCACAGCCAACTCCACAACCAACTCCACAGCCCCAACAACTCAAAAAAATCAACGAAAATTATCATCAAAATCTAAAATTATCATCAAAATCTAAATTATCCCTAAGAAATGAAAATAATAAGGAATTTGCAGTGATCAACCCTTGATATCTAATTAAAAAAAAAAAACAGTCACAACAACTCCAACCTATACCTTCCCTGAATACCTAGTTAACAAAAAGTATCACAAAAATTTCAACTCTCACACCTTAGTATAGGCCCTATAGGGCCTATAGGCTTATAGATTACAAAATTTCTTCTATGCTGAGTCTTTTCAGGTCTTAATCTAAAGTAGGAAATTCAACGTGGTCATTTTTTTTTTTTTTTTTTTTTTTTGGAAGTGGAAGAAACAGATCCCTCCAGTGCTAGCGATGCTGATGAGAGCAGACACCGCTAGCACCTGGGGATAGGCTCCATCTATTGGTGGGGAGCATCAAACTCAGATGAGCAAAAGCGAAGACCGTCCAGGACGATAAGCTCGAAGGGGGAGGAAGCATCAAGCCCAACATCTCGGATGATGCCCACTGACCACACAATGAGAAACAAGCGATCAAACCGAGGGAAAGCAGCTGCCGTCTGCAGACGAGAGAAATTTGAATCACAACAGTCGCGACAACCCTAATTAGGTGAACCAATTTTCACCGACCATAAAGAAAGCTTCAACCAACCCTAATTCCGCAAACCGCCAGCAATTATCGGGATCCACCAATAAAATCAAAGGATGAAGTATGATGGACTAACAGACTGGAACTAATAAGAAATTCGAACTAGAGCTCAAGTATTCAAGATCACGGGAAGGGATCTGGGTAAACGTTTAAGTGCGAAACCAGACAAAATTCCGCTTGGACTCACTGACCAAACTGTAGAAGATTGGGAAAAATCAGTGAGTAAGTATGGAAGGCCGAAGGCGCAAGAGCGCTCTTTTGTTTGATTGATAGAATTCTCCCGTAAAGTCTCTAAATTGTCTATACCATGCTGTGTTTCCTATATTTGTTTCCAACTCTGCTGCAAGCCTCCAGAGGCTCGCTAGAGGCCTTCGTCGGCTCTCGCAAGAGTCGAGCCTCTTGGGATAAGGCAAGGTATTGTTTTAGACATGTTCTGAACAATGTCGTAGTTCAAACTACATCCTCCACAAAGAAGTCAAAATCGGCGCACTTAACAGCCATTTGCTCTAACCACTGAGCTACTAGAGACCTATTCACCGGCCTTGTTTGTTTTTTTTCGAGCCTCCCACCTTCATCTGTGTATGCGTGTACGGGGCCTGAGCATCGTCTATGAATGGCTCAGACCCCACCATCTCACGATTGTTTGTGTGTGGAGTGATATCTGTGTGAGTCAGTCTATGTGAGTCAGTCCATTATCAGACTTCCGCTCCATACATGCTCATCCTATATTGGTTGATCTTTGGTTCTGCCCCATACTCGTTGAAGTATTCACGAGTATGTAACAGCTTGTCAGCAGACCTTTCGCAGGTGAGGCAGCGATAGGGGGGGAGAGATTGGCTTCTTCCACTGCTTCTTCCTGCCTCCACCCTCCACATCTTCTTCTTCGTCGTCTTCCTCTGCCCGTACGTTCTGTTCGAGAGAATACGGTAAGCCTCTGTGTTTGCGGACAGACTCTCTCTGGACAGCCAGCTGTGCGATGCCAAAGTAAGAACACCCTACGGGGCCTACGCTTTTGTTTCCTCTTTGTAAAAAAGGCGTCCCGCCAACTCTCGCGAGTCTGGCGATAAGTGTCTGCTCGAGTAGAAATGTTGGTGCTGCCCCCACCTCCAGCAAGCAGTTTTGGAGTTCGAGCGCCCACTTCGTTTGCTGGCCTCTTGCTCTTGGTGCCATGCAGCTGACTTTGGTTATCCGTAAGCTCATCAGTCACTGAGTCTACAGACTCTACACCCCTTAATCACTCAGGTTACTTCCTACCTCCACATCACTCCCGTCATCACCCGAATAGAACGCCCGGTAATTATCGCCATATCTGGGCTGAAAGTTGTGCCAAATACAGCAATAAAGACCGGGCGTTCTATTCGGGTGAAGACGGTAGGGTTACCTGAAAAAAGGTCAACAAGTGACTGAAACCAATGTACAGCCTCCGCGTCTACACCTTGACGACTGAGGTTACGTGCAGATGACTAGGTTACAGCTTAACCACTCAGGTTAGCTGGAGATCACTACCGTCTTCCCCCGAACATAACGCACCGTAAAGATGAATGTATACAAGCTATATTTCCGGCCAGATACGG